TACATTTTCTTTCATCTCTATAATCATCACTAAATTATTGAAAGAAGGCTTCACTATGCTAAATCTTGCTTTCATATTCTGACATTGTCACCTATTCTGCTTAGCTCTCTCTTTATAAAAATAATATCTTTATTTACTCCATTATTGCATTATCCAGAAGACAAGGTTATTTTAACCAAATTTTTAATTACTTGCATGCTTTATTCTCTCAAGAATATCACAAAATAGTAATTGAGTTGAAATAAATTCAGCTTCCCTATATATTGTAAATATTTGAGTAATGAGTAGAGATTATTAGAATTTAGATTCTTAATAAGAATCTTTATTACAACAAAAACTACAGTCAACCTTTATTTCCTGTAGTCTTAACTCCAGATGCCCCAAAGAAATAAACTGTTAAAAACTATATTCCAGTTAGTATGATTAGGTAATAATCACCCCGGGGCATGGTGGGATAGGGCAACCATTCATCATAATCAAGAATTTATGGGTCAGGAATTTGAATAGAGAACATGAGGGAGAGTTTATTTTTGTTGTGCAGTGGGAGAAGAAAGACCCAAAATTTGAAAGTTGTTATCATTTGAAGGCTCACTCACTCAAAGGTATTTGATGCTGAGTGTTGGGAGCCTCCATTCTTCTTCATTTGGGCTCCCCATGTGGTTTCTCCACATGGGCTAGTTTGGGCTTCTCACAGCATGGAAGCTATGTTCCAAGGACAAACATCCCTAGAGTACGAGAAAACTATGATATGTGGTAATATTTCCTGGCCCAGCCCTGGAAGTGACACAGTACTACTTTTACCATATTCTATTGGTTGGAGCAGTTACCAGACCCTGGTGAGACTCATGGGGAAAGTATATTTACTTTTCCATCTCTTTGTGGGAACAATGTAAGTCACATTGTAAGAAAAGGCATATGGGAAGAGTGTATACATAGGTGTAGCTATATATATGGAAAGTTTCATCTGCTGCAGTGAACCCTCTGGCCATACCATTCTACATCTCTCCCATGTGCAATATACATTTATATCTTGCCAAAAGATGTCCCATTATAGTATCAGAGCTAGGCTCAAGGTATGGAATCTCATTACCTAGATAAGGTCCAGATGTGAATGGGGCTCTTCAGATGTGTTTCCTCAATATCAGATCCTCTAGTACTGTTTCTCTCAGTTTTAGTAAACTAAAAACAATTTATCTGCCCCCACTACACACCCACTATGCTATGGTTGAACAAAAATAGGATAGTCACTATATACCTTTCAGTTTTAAAATGGGGGAAATTAGAGGCACACAGGAGTCACAGGTCCATAGTAATTCTGAAATCCAGGCAGGCACATGTTGCTAGTTCCTTGATTAGGGCTCAGTCCTATGGCCTGGCTCTGTCTCTTGAGTTCTTGGCTCTGTCCCTTGAGTTTTTGGTTCCATATTCTGAGTCATACTTTCTTTTCTATAAAATAAAAGTACTTTGCATTTGCAGCTTAGTAGTTTTTTTCAGCTTGGTTTCTACCTATAGATATTTGGAGATCAAATGTCTCTTTCATTTAGCACTTTCTCCATCCCTTTCAGGCCCAAATGATATATTTCTTTTAAAACATTGTACATTTTTTGTAAACCAATTTATAATCTATGCAACAAAAGTCACACTCATAAATCACCACAAGAGAAGCCTTTTCTTTCTTTCTTTTTTTAAATAATTTTTTTCCCTTTATTGGTTTTTAGAGAGAGAGGAAGGAAGAGGGAAAGAAAGATTAGAAACTGGATATCCATATGCAAAAGAATGAAATTGAACCCCTGTCTTACACTATTTACAAAAACTGACTGAAAATGAATTAAAAACTTAGATATAAGACCCTAAAGCATAAACTCCTAGAAGAAAATAAAGGCAAAAAGCTCCTTGACATTGGCCTTGGCAATGATTTTTTTATATGATACCACAAGAACAGCCAACAAAATCAAAAATAAATAAGTGGGACTACATAAAACAAAACAAAACAAAAAATTCTGTACCACAAAGGAAACAATCAATAAAATGAAAGGCAAACTATGGAATTAAAAAGACTAGGAATGGGCCCTGGCCGGTTTGGCTCAGCGGTTAGAACATTGGCCTGCGTCCAGAGAGATCGGGGTTCAGTTCCAGCTGAGGGCATGTACTTCGGTTGCAGTTTGCCCTGGCCTTGGTTGGGTTGTGTGGGTGGCAGTCACTCGATGTGTCCCTTTCACATTGATGCTTCTCTCTCTCTCTCTCTCTCTCTCTCTCTCTCTCTCTCCCCCACCCCCCACTCTTCCTGAACAAAAAATGGAAAAATGTCCTTGGGTAAGTATAAAATAAAAAAATAAATAAATGAAATATTACAAAATAAATAAAAAGACTGGGAATGGGTAGTCCCAGAGATGTGGAAGTAGGGTACAGACTGACAATCCCCAAAAGAGTGGGTAGAGGGGCCCCAAAAGAGTGGGTGGAGGGGAGATAAACCACAGAACTTATATGCATGTATGCATGACCAATGGAAACGGACAACAAAGCTGGGGAGAGGGAGGGCAGGGAGGGGGAGGAGAAACATCTGTAACAAAAGTAAATAAAAATTTTTACAAATTAATTAATTAATTAAAAGACTGGGAATGCCATTTCTTGTTTCTTAGAACTTCACCTGGTACAAGTCAGCTGCCATATAAGGAGTTCAATTACCCTGAAAGTACTATGTCTTCAAGAAGTACAAGCTACAGTGAAAGGCCTTGGAGAACAAGATCCATGTGGAAAGAGTGAAAGACAAGGAGACCCAAGACTTTAAGTTTGTGAATGACAACCCTTCCTGTTTCAAACCCTCCCAGATACAACCATGTGGATCAGAAAATCTATCAGTCAAGCCCTTCCTGAATTCCTTACCCACAAAACAGTCAGCAAATTAAATGGTAGTTTTAAGCCACTAAATGTGGCAGTCATTTGTTAAACAGAAATAAAAGGAACAACTTAAGCTGCTATCTGATTGCCCAGCAGAGATGTAATGAAGAGCATAGTTAATTTGAAATTAACAAGGGAATGTTACCTTTGACCTTAAAAGGCAGATAAGTATAGTTAGTTAAGTAGTTAGTTAGGTAGTTTCAATATTTTTGTCAGTATCTGTAAGAAGATAGATTATGTTCAGGATTAGCCTTTTGATCTTTTTAACTCTATTGTTGACCTTATTCTATTTACCTGATCTCAAATGCCTTTAGAAACCGTTTCCAACATATCTGTGGTCCACAGTTATCCGCATGGTAGTGGTATATTCCTACTATGTCCAAGTTTAAGTCTATGAGTGAAATAATAGTTACTACTAATAATTGTGAACATTAATAGTGTTTCTAAGTGCCAGGCAGTATGCTAAACACTTTGCATGTACTATCTTATTAAAAACTTCCAAATGCCTTTATTCTTTTCTTTAAAATTTTTTATTTATTAATTTGTTTTTGTTACAGATATTTCTCATTTTTTCCCCATTGACATCCTCCTCCCCTTCCCCCCCAACACATCCCCAGCTTTGTTGTCTATGTTCATTGGTCATGCATACGTGCATGTAAGTTCTGTGGTTTATCTCTTTCCCCACAAACGCCCCCCTCCTCTGAGGCTTGTCAGCCTGTACCCCACCTCCATGTCTGCATTGTTTCTTTTAACTTATATATTAAGTTGGTTGCATAAAAGATATATTCTCATACTGACAATTCTTGTCATGAATAAAATCAATAAAATAAGGCAATAGCAAGACGTGCTTCACAAATAAACAAGTGGTAAGAATAGGAAATCTGGCCCTGTACAACAAAAAGATTAGGAAGCAAAATGTGAATAAACCCTGAATTCGGAATATACCTAAAGACACAAAAAGCACAAACCATGAATATAAATAGACAATACAGAACAGGAGAAATCTAAGTGGCCATTAAATACAGAGAAGGATCACTAACCTCAATAGCAATCAAATTTTAAAAAATCACAGACTCCTTGTTTATGATGCATGATTCTTTTATCATCTATTTGTGAAATCAGAATGAACATTAAGAAACATGAAATCCAAATTGCATTTATTTGCACTATATCAATGCTAAATTCAAAGTAACAACTTCATTGAATCTGAGTATTAAACATTTCAAAGTAAAAGGCAATCTTAATTGTTTTAACTCTATGAATAGGGTCTGCAAAAAAGGTGTATTATTTTATTCTACTTGCAAGGAGAACAGGTCTCCATCTGCACTTAGGCAGCATGAGCAACAAAGGACAGCAAATAAATATCACTAAGAGTAATGCTCGTACATATCAAAATATCTAGTTGAGCCATTTTATTTCTACTTATATAGCAAGTCTGTTAAACCAGCATAATGGAAGCTGACATTTCATGTGACAGAATTACTAAATTGACACACATCTATTAGAAATTTTCAACGCCTACTCCCAAAACATTTTAGCACACCTATTAAATACTGCAGTTCATTTAGAAAAACAGAAATAAAACATAAACCCAGTCTTTGCAATTAAAAATTTTCATCACATATAAACAATGTCCAAATATAAATTGTTAACTAAATATGTTTTTTTCCAAATATGACGTATGTAATCAAGGGTTTCTTAAACAAAGGTAGGTCTTAGGTTTATGAACTGTACAAACTGACAGTAGCATATATTCCAAATAGAGATTTTGACACTATAACTCTTTTCTGAATAAAGATATATGTTAAGGCTTAAGGTGTAAACACTTTGGAAGGCAAAAGACTTAGTGAAGAAATTAATGTTCATTTTAATGTGTATTATCTCATAATAGGTCCCTGAATTTTCAAATTTACATGTGATGATACATTTACATATTAAATTTCTAGGAAAGGTACTGGCTTTATGTTTAAAAAGCAGCAAAATTTTAAACCCACCAATTTATTGAAAAAGCCATTATATTTATTGGAAACAAATAATGCTTCTCAAGATGTTGGCAACAAGTGATAGTATATGCATATATTTCATACAGTATACTTCTTTGTTTAATTATATTCCAGTAAAAATGGAATACCTCCTTGGGTATGGGCAGCAGAAGTATTTGATGGACTGTGTAAGTTGGTCTCCTTGTACACAAACCATGCATTTCCTCCCCAAAATATCATATTCAGAAAGTTGAAGATCACAGATACATTTAGGAATCCTATACTAGTCACAGAGCCAAAATAACACATCGCTCCTTGAGAATGACAGGGTGCAAGTTCCTGTACAATATTGGAACCAGTAGCTATTTAAAATTGTTTTTCTTTATTGATTTTTAGACAGAGAGGAAGTGAGAGATACAAACATCGATGAGAACATGGATTGGCTACCTCCTGCATGCCCCCCACTGGGGATCAGGCCCACAACCTGGGCATGTGCCCTGACTGGGTCCACGCTCAACCACTGAGCCACACCTTTCAGGCCTGGTAGCTATTTTAATGTCTGGAAGAGATTTATCCCAAGCTGAGTTGCTCACCAGCCACAAGAAAGTGGCAACAAGAGTAACAACAAAGTCAGCCATAGGAAGTTTTCAACTATCACATATAGATCTGTGTAACCAACATAGAACAAAAGAGCAGCAATGCAAAACAGGAAAAAAGACTGCAAACAACATAGAGTTGCACAGAAGAGTAATTCCAACAAGGACAAGACTTTTCCCATTTAAATCACACACATTTACTGGAAGTGCCTGAAATGATGTTTCATTCAACCTGAATGGATAACCAAAAGTAGCTGTAATTGTTTTATTGTCAGGAACTTTAGCAGTAGGACAACTCACTAGAATTTTTGTTTTGCCTTTAAAAGCTCCACAGGTGGCAAAAGCAAAGATACAAGCAAGTCACTCAAGGACTTTGATGAAGCCCAGTGGCTCCTTGAGGCGACTGAGGTTGAGCTGGAAAGAGGACATCCTCTGAGGGAAGGAGGGAGAGAGAATTAGGACAGTGGGGCGGAGAAGAAGGGGGATCCAGGAGACCCAGCAGTCTGGGAAGGGTAGGCTGGGGAAACTCCAGGAGGCGGGCCTTGGCTGAGAGTGCAGCAGGGTGGCGGTTGAGCCGCTGCCCAAGACACTGGGTCCGGAGACTCTCCCAAGTATCTTATGTGATCACTTATATTTCTATTCCCATTATACAGATGAGGAAACAAAGGCTCAGAGAGGGATGGAGACTTGCCCAAATTCAATAAGCTACTAAGTAGTGGAAGAGAAATTTGAACCCAGGCAGGTAGACCCTGGATTTAACAACACTATGCTACTATTCATTTGTTACTTTTATTGCTGAATAGAAATGGACCTCATTCAAAAATCCCCTCCCATTGTTGGGTGCAGAGGTTCAGAGTAAAATGGATAAATGTGCACTGCTATAACTTTATCTAAGAGATAACAATGTTCTGAGTGCATTTAATTTTCTTCCATCTCGGATTGCATAAAATTTAGTTCCAACTTTGTAATTTATCAAGAGATTATTAACTACATTTGATTGGACAAATACCCCCTCTCAGTGTGGACAATTTCAGCTTGCTGTGTGATTGTTAATTCCCATCAGTTTACATTAGGTTGAACTGCCAAGTTCACCAGTGAAAGGTAATGTATCTCCAAAATAAATGCTGCTTTAGAGAACCTTTTCTGTCAATCATTATATTCTTCAAAGAATCTCAAATGAGCCAATATAACACATGGAAAATTGCCCAGTCAGATACATCAAGTAGATCCTTCCACATTTGCAATCTGGTCCATTAATTCAAAGCATTATTGGCCTAGTCAAGAGTTACAGCAAGAAATAGTGATTGTTTCCAAGTTAATATATGAGTGTCAAAATATGAGTGTCAGACAGGCTGATTTAACTAACAATTGCCAAAATAAAGGGTCCTTAAAGTAACTCATTGGATCAAGAAGAAATGGTAGTTGACTTAAACCAAGCTTTAGTTTTGCTGTTTCTTATAAATGCTATGGGAGCCTCAACATAAAAAATAATACAGTTCACCTATGTATGGTTCCTAATTTTGACATTAACTTCTGTATTTTTATGTATTGGTGCTATATCTGAATAAATGAAGCAAATCATGTGAACATACCATCTAGTGAGTATAAACTGTCTGAGATTAAGACCTGTTTCTTTCTCTCTCTTTTTAATATGTTTTTATTGATTTTCCAGAGAGAGAAGAAGGGAGAGGGAGAGAGAGATAGAAACATTGACGTGAGAGAAACATCGATTGGCTGCCTCCTGCTCAATCTGTGCCAGCAACCCAGGCATGTGCCCTGACAGGGAATCAACTGGGACCTCTCAGTCCATGGGACAATGCTCAATTCACTGAACCACATCAGCTTGGAGAGAGAGACCTGTTCCTTATTCATGTCTGGTCTGTATGCCACAGAGCACACCCAACACAGTGCCTTGCACAGTTGCTAAAAGAAGATAGGATTTGTTCGGCCAGTGTTGCTCAGTGGTTGATCATCGACCCATGCATCAAGAGGTCACTGGTTTGATTCCCAGCCAGGACACATGCCCAGGTTGTGGCCTGACCCCCACTGGGGGGCATGTGAGAGGCAGCCAATCGATGTTCTCTCTCATCGATGTTTCTATCTCTCTCTCCCTTTCACTTCCTCTCTCTCTAAAAACCAATAAAGGAAAAACATTAAAAAAAAAAAAAAAAAAAGAAGAAGAAGAAGATAGGATTTGAGTGGAATTGAATTTGGATGTCTCTTTTTGTTTTAAACAACCACTTTTATATATGCACAAAAGGCATACAGGTATTCAAAATGGTCTAGCCTAGTCTATTACATTAATATTTTTTACATTTATTTTTATTTTAGTGGTTTATTTAGGTACAATTTACATACAATAAATTTCATCTATTTAAAGTATGCAATTCAGTGGCTTTTAGCATATTTAGCAGAGTTGTGAAACCACCACCTCAATCTATTTCAGAACATTTTCATCACTCTAAAAAAAAAATCTTGTAACAATTAACAGGCATCCCCCATTCACCTCATCTACAACCTCTGGAAAGCACTAATATACTTGTTATCTCTATAGATTTGCCTAATCTGAACTTTTCATATAAATGAAATGATACAGTATGTGGCTTTTTGCATTTGGCCTATTTATCTTAGCATAATGTTTTTGAGATTCAACGATGTTGTAATGTACAAGTACTCCAGTCATTTTATAGTTAAATAATATTCCATTTTATGGATATACTCATTTTGTTTACCCATTCATCTGTTGATGGACATTTGGGTTGTTTTTACTTTTTGGCCACTGTGAATAATGCTGCCATAAACACTCATTTACAAGTATTTGTGTGGAAATACATTTTCATTTCTCTTGGGTATACGCCTAGAAGTGGAATTGCTGGGTCATATGGTAACTCTATGTTTTGATTGAGTAACTTCTAATAATCTGTCCATAAATTCACTAATTCCATTCTCTGTAATCATCACTCTACTAATGAGCCCATTCAATTCATTTTTTTTTTTTTTTGGTTATTATATTATTTAGTTCTGAGATTTCAGTTTGGTTCTTTATAATAAATTCTATTTCTTTGTTGAGATTTTCTATTTCTCCTTTGTTCTAAAATAAATTTTAATTGCTTGTTTATACATTTGTATGATGGCAGGCTTAAAATCCTTATCAGAGTGAAATAAGCAAGACACAGTAAGATAAGTAATCTATGTTCTCATTTATATGGAAATATAACAATGTTGAACTCATAAAACTAGACAGTAGCATGGTGGTTGCCAAGGGCCAGAGAATAAGGGGAATGGGGAGATGTTGATCAAAGGGTAAAAACTTTCACTTAGAAGTTGAAAACATTCTGGGGATTTGATGTACAACATGGTGACTATAGTATAAAACTATATTGCATATTTGAAATTTACTAAGAGAGTAAATCTTGTGCTTTCATCACACACACACACACTATAAAGTCTTATAATGCCAAGATCTGATTCATCTTGGTGTTGTTATCAGTTAGTTGTCTTTTCTTTTTCATGTATGCTGTGATTTTTCTGGCTCTTGGTATGACAAGTGATTTTCCTATTTTATTCTGGACATTTTGGATATTATATTATGAGACTCTGGATTCTATTTAAACTTTCCTTTCAAGTTCAGAGTTAGGGCTATTTGCTGCATATGTTTTGCTTCTCAGTGGGTTCCACCAACCATCCTAGCAGCAGCACCCACTGCATCATTGTAAACAAGTGAAATAAAGGTTTAGTTCCTCTCTTGATGTTGTTGACACTCTCCTGGCATAAGTGTGGCACCAACTCACACCACTTTACTACCTCTGAATGGAGGTGAAAGCTCAGATTCTCACTAGGCCCCGCTAACACCAGAAAGGGGTGAGGTTGACTTACTCAGGCCATGTTGTCACTGCAGGGTGGGGGCAGAAGTTTACTCTCTCCCTTGGACCCCTCTGACACCAGGAGAGCAAAAGGAAGGAAGCAGAGTGCCAATTAGCCCCATCTCCTTAATGCTAGGTGGGAATGGAGGCTCAGCTCCAAGCTGGATCTCACTGACACTACCTGGTTGGAGAATCAGAGCACCATGTTCTACTGCCAGGCAGGGGATGGAAGACCAGGTCCCTGCCCAGACTCACTAACACTATCCCTGTAGGGGAATCAGAGCACATACTGGTTGCATTGGAAGGGGACGGAAAATCAGCTGCCCTGCTTACTTCACTCAGGAGGGGAATTAGAGTGCTGCCTGCTTCTACCAGGCAAGAAATGAAAGATGAGCTCTTCATTCAGAAGGTCAGGTCCATGTCTAGCCCCACCCCAGGAGGAAAGAAGGAATTAAAGTGTTACCACATGCTTTTACAGGGAAGGTAGAGGCCTCGAAGACCAAATCTCAACTCAGCCCCTATTGAAATCCTGGAGGTGGGAAACATTTTTTCCATTGATATTTGGCAGGAGTAGGGTAGGTAGTGCCAAAGTATGTTTTATTATTAAGCTACCTTTTTCCTGGTCGTTTGGCTAGGGAAAGTGACTTGTTAGTTTGTTTTCCTTTGTTTGTGGCTATTGGTGGTTCTGGATTACAGGCTTCTGGAGAGCCCTGTCCAGTATATGTGAGACACAATAAGGAAACCCAGAGAATTCACTGTGATACCAATACTGTCAAGGTCTCAAGACAATCCATCTTTTTCTCTACACTTTCCAGAGTCTTCCTATGCTTGTTTGTCATGTTACATCCAGGGATTCTGGGAAATACGTGTGATATGAAATGCAAGTGATATGTCAACTTGCATCATTTGAATTAATTTCTATTATAGAGAACATTTTTAAGCCCTCTTAAAAATCAAGTTGACAATGAAGAGCCCATTTATGTGGGTAAAACTTGATACAAAAGATCAGTACTACTAAAATTTTCCCTGGAAAATCTCCTAAGAATATCAAAACACTTCTCTCCCCCTGCCCATTCTTCTAAACATTTTTAAAGCTCATAAAAACAGATTTGGTGGAGTTTTTAAAAAAGTGTATAGTCATCTAAAAATAGCTCTGAGTCCATGAATTAAGAAAGAGAAAATAAAGAAAACCCCATAGAGTCCATTCAGATAGCTAAATGAGTAAATTTTGCTAGAAAAAAAAGAGAAAGGGGAATCATACATCTAACTTCAAAGTAATATGAGATTTAAAATCTGTATTGCAAAAACAATAAAGGTTTGCAAATTAAAAACACATCAGTTTAAAACAAAAACAAAAGAAAATCCCTTCATATTGCAGTTGAAAGTGTCAAAATTGTTTCCATAGAAAATGGAAGCATCTTGGAAATTCACAGAAATAATAGAGTGTAGAACTAGTCATGGGAATCTCTGCTTACCTTTATTGGCTTTAGGGCAAAGAAAGCAGCAGGCATATTAACCCTGGGGCTTTCCTTAAACCATGCACCCATCTGATGTTTCTTGTCTGTA